GTCCAGAAAAAAATAAGATGGGGTTTGCACTAGCAGGAAGTCTATTCTTGGGGTTCACAGAATGACAAGGGCGATTAAGAACTTTTAATATTGTAAAAGTCATTAAAAAAATTTTAAAATGTTTTTTTTTTTTTAAATCGATTGTGGCTCCGCACAAAGGAGAAGGAAAGGAAAAGCAGCTTGTTAATATCTGGGAAGGCTGCCCTTGGATACATTAGCCAAGACAGCATGGAATGTTTGGCTGGCCGACACAGATGGAGAGTTGCCTTCTGGAGCCAATGAGAGCCAACCTGACCACAGAGACTTGGGCACAATGCATTTCAGATAGGTAGGGGTCCCATGTTGTGGACAGAGAAGGTTGATGGTCTCTCTGTGCCGGCAGTCTTGCTGTGGGAACCCTAGGGGAGGAACGGTGCAGTTTGGTGCAAGATGGCTGAAAGTGTGTACAAATTATCTGAATGCAATCTTTCTACTGAAAAGCACCAACTAAAGTGGAAGCAATGCAGTATATATACACCGATCAGCCATAATATTATGGCCACAGGTAATGTAAATAACTCTGATTATCTTGTGACAGTGGCACCTGAAGGTGGGTGGGATATACTATAGGCAGCAAGCAAACATTTTGTCCCTGAAGTTGATGTGTGCTGAAAGCAGAAAAAGTGGTCAAGCGTAAGGATCTGAGCGTCTCTGCTGACAGTAATGTCTAGACGACGGAGTCAGAGCAACTCTAAATCTGCAGCTCTTGTGGAATGTTCCTGGTCTGCAGTGCTCAGGACTGACCAAACGTGGTCCAAGGAAGGAAAACTGGCCAACCAATGACTAAATCTGCAGCTGTTGTGGAATGTTCCTGGTCTGCAGTGCTCAGGACTGACCAAACGTGGTCCGAGGAAGGAAAACTGGCCAACCAATGACTAAATCTGCAGCTCTTGTGGAATGTTCCTGGTCTGCAGTGCTCAGGACTGACCAAACGTGGTCCAAGGAAGGAAAACTGGCCAACCAATGACTAAATCTGCAGCTGTTGTGGAATGTTCCTGGTCTGCAGTGCTCAGGACTGACCAAACGTGGTCCGAGGAAGGAAAACTGGCCAACCAATGACTAAATCTGCAGCTCTTGTGGAATGTTCCGGTCTGCAGTGCTCAGGACTGACCAAACGTGGTCCGAGGAAGGAAAACTGGCCAACCAATGACTAAATCTGCAGCTCTTGTGGAATGTTCCCGGTCTGCAGTGCTCAGGACTGACCAAATGTGGTCCAAGGAAGGAAAACTGGCCAACCAATGACTAAATCTGCAGCTCTTGTGGAATGTTCCCGGTCTGCAGTGCTCAGGACTGACCAAACGTGGTCCGAGGAAGGAAAACTGGCCAACCAATGACTAAATCTGCAGCTCTTGTGGAATGTTCCTGGTCTGCAGTGCTCAGGACTGTCCAAACGTGGTCCGAGGAAGGAAAACCAGCCAACCAATGACTAAATCTGCAGCTCTTGTGGAATGTTCCCGGTCTGCAGTGCTCAGGACTGACCAAACGTGGTCCAAGGAAGGAAAACTGGCCAACCAATGACTAAATCTGCAGCTCTTGTGGAATGTTCCCGGTCTGCAGTGCTCAGGACTGACCAAACGTGGTCCAAGGAAGGAAAACCGTCCAACCAATGACTATAAATCTTCAGCTCTTGTGGGACGTTCCTGGTCTGTGGTGGTCAGGACTGACCAAAAGTGGTCCAAGGAAGGAAAACTGGCCAACCAATGACTATAAATCTGCAGCTCTTGTGGGACGTTCCCAGTCTGCGGTGGTCAGGACTGACCAAAAGTGGTCCAAGGAAAGAAAAGCAGCCAACCGATGACAGGGAAATGGGCCGCAAGGCTCATTGATACACGTGGGGAGCGAAGGCTGGCCTGTCTAGTCCGATCCAACAGAAGAGCTACCGGAGCTCAAATTACTGTAAACAATGAATGCTGGTTTCGATAGAAAGGTGTCTGAACACACAGAAGATTACAGTTTGTTGTGTATGGGGCTTTGTGCTCATTCTTGAGGGCAGGTACTGATGTTGAATATCTGTCTCACAATCAGTATTCCATGTCATTCCAGAGGTTTTCAGTAGGGTTGAGGTCAGGGTCACTCGAATTCCTCCACACCCAACAAGTCAAACCATGTCATTATGGAGATGGCTTTGTGCACCTGCAAATATATAGGCTCCTGCTGCTGTCAGTCAAAAACCTGTCGGAAGGGAACGGGTACATGCCTTTCCAGCGCCGTGTGTGTCTAAGGATGCATACAGCACCGGCTCGGGAACATGCTCACACTGGTGCCCCTTTAGACTTGCTGAGGGAGCCCCTGAAGGAAGGAGGAGCAGACAGCACCGATGTAGGACTCCAGAAGAGAAGGTATGGGACCGCTCTGTGCAATATCGTTGCACAGAGCAGGTAAGAATAAACCTCTTTTTAAAATTTTTTTATTTACAGCAAAAATAAAAAAATGATATGCTTAAAAAACCTTCTGTGTCCAGCAGCCCCCCCAATATTTACCTGAGCCCCACCGCGATCCAGCAATGTGCACGAGGGGGACTCTCCACAGCCAGTGAGCCAATAAGGAGAGAGGGGGCTGGGTGAACCGTGGCTTTGTGTGTTAATAGGCACACAGAGAAGTTGCTTAGGAACGAGTGTGCTTGGGTGCCCCCATAGAAAGCTTCTTGCTCTGGGGCACTCAGCAGAGGGGAGGGGACAGGAATGCTGGCGGGGGACACGAGAAAAGGGAGATCGGGGCTGCTGTGTGCAAAAGCATTACACAGAGCAGGCAAGTATAATATGTTTTTATTTTTATTATATATATAAAAAAAAACCAAAAAGCCTTTAATATGACTGTAAGGTAACAAAAATATATGTAAAACTTTTACAAAATATACAGTATTTCCCTTATAGTAGCCGAAATGACCACATACACCTGCATATGGAATATCACATCAAGGTTGTCGCTAATATTTTTTTTATAAGGATATCTCCCAAATGATCAAGAATAAGTAAGTGCAATATAAATAAGTAAGTATAATATAAAGTTCTTCTTTTCAGAATTTCAAAAAACTTGTTTAACTCAATTTATGTTTAACCATGGATCATCGTGCTATAAATGGATATTTGGTGGTAATGAGTGAAGATCGGTCTTTGCTATTTGCTGGACACGTTCAGCTTTGGTACTAATTTATCAAGTGCCCTTCCTGCATATTCATCATCTTCGGATACAATAAACGGGAAAGATCTAAGTTTTCTGAAATTCTGAATAGAAGAACTTTATATTATACTTACTTATTCTGGACCTGTTTGGGGACATACCTAGCATAAAAAAATATCACCCAAACCGTCCTCTCCGCTCCTCGCACGACCTCCTGCTCTCTAGCTCCCTTGTCTCCTCCTCCCATGCTCGTCTCCAGAGCTTCCCCCATCCTCTGCAACTCTCTACCCCAATTTATTAGACTATTCACCTACTCTGCTCACTTTTAGGCGATCTCTGAAAACCAATCTCTTCAGGGAAGCCTATCCTGCCCTCAGCTAATAATGGAATCTTCTACTCCTCCTACCAGTCCATCCCCCACAGTTATTACCTTTTGTACCACTAGCCCCTCCCTCGTAGATTGTAAGCTCCCAGGATCAGGGCCCTCCTATCCCTCTTGTATTGAACTGTATGTTGCTGTATTGTCTCCCGTTATATTGTAAAGCGCTGAGCAAACTGTTGGTGCCATATAAATCCTGTATAATAATAATAAAAACTATTGGAGACAACCTTGGTGCAATATTCCATATGTTGATTTATGTGGACTATGATGAGTATCATAAGTGTTTTACATCTACTGCACTCACTTCGGCCCTAATAATTGGAATATTTTTGTAATGTTTACATACAGTACATTGTTTTGATACCTTAAGGGTTTTTTTTTTAAAAAAGTCCAATATTAAAAAATATACCTGAAATCTGGGTATCCTCAAACTAGTTGCTTTAATACAATATATATTTATGACAAAGCACTAGGCATGCCTTGCTTATCTCTCTCCCTTCTGCCTGGCAGCATGCACCATGCCGATCCAAGGTACGTTGGTGGACATGCAGAGCCAAGGAAACACTTGGGTACTTTGTTGCTTAACTGAATAATTGTCAGTCAAACTATTAGAGTGAAAACTGAAAAATAGCCTGGTAAATGATGTGGGTGTGGAAGAAAACGAACTCTCTTGCGCTCTGTGACCCAACCCGGAGTAGGTAGATGGAACCAGGACTTGAAAGTTTCTACCACCAGTGAATATGGGGCTGTGCAGCTTAAAACAAGGCTGGGGAAGCCCGACCACTACTGTGAAGCGAAAACAAACAAAAAGCGCACCAACCTTGCGCATTACCTCAGTAAGCCAAAATGTATTAGTTACAGAATAATACTCACAAACAATGAAGTATATCAAGCATGTAAGTCCTCAAAGGGACTAGGGATAAAAGCAGCCTGCACGAGTCCCATCATAGGAGTGGACACTCAGGGTACAGGTGACACGTTTCGAAGGGCGTCCCTTCTTCCTCAGAGCTTCAGAAGCGTAATGCACAAGGTTGGTGCGCTTTTTGTTTGTTTTCGCTTCACAATGATGTGGGTGTAACATGGCGGTCCTCATCTTTATGGGCTTATCTGAAAACTATTCAAAAACCATGGTCATTAACATGGAGTTGGCCTCCTTTGCAGATAGAACATCCTCCACTCTTCTAGGAAGGCTTTCTACAAGAATTTGGAAGGTGTCTGCGGGAATCTGTGCCCATTTAGGAGGTCAGGTACTGATGTTTGGTGAGAAGATGTGGCTCACAATCAGTGTTCCAATTAATTCCAAAGGTGCTCATTAGGGTTGAGGTCAGGGTCACCAGAGTACCTCCACACCAAACTGGTCAAACCGTGTCATTATGGACCTGGAGTAGAGCAATTGAACTCAATTTGTATGGAAGGGGGGTCCACACACATTCGGCCATTTACTTTGTATTCTTCTTACCTTTGGTATGAGCCTGTCCAGATATACTGCTCTTCTCTCATGTGATGGATGGGTTGAAAGCACTTCTGGGATATGAGGCTCATCTCCATAAGTCTCCATCACTACCATCTGTTTCCAGAACACAGAGCTGGCCCTCACATCAACGCAGGCCTGGGGACAAACCAGAACAATAACCTTTAGGAAATCTCTGAATCATAAAAAAAAATATCCTACTGCAAGTTTAAATGAAAGAACAATTGGTAGAATGGGACTAAGCATTGTCACCTTATAGAAGGAAGTGTCTGAACAAGGACTTCTGGAATGGTGTTAACATGTTAATAATGATTGACACACAGGTTTGACTGATGGCAGCAGGAGCCAATGGTTACCTCTGATGCCTGAGTCTCCTGTGAGAACAGGAAGTGATGGGAGAAGAGCTGCAGCAGGGACAGCGCTGGATTGATCAGAGGACTCGGGTAAGTGTTTATGGGTGGCACAATAAGTGGTAAAACTATTTTTACCCTAATTCAGGGAATGCATTAACCCCGTCGTGACTAAGGGTAACGCAAATCTTAAAATCAGTGCCCATCAGTGATGCCGTCAGTGCCACCTACCAGTGCCTCCTCATCAGTGCCACCTACCAGTGCCTCCTCATCAGTGCCGCCTATCAGTGCCTCCTCATCAGTGCCACATACCAGTGCCTCCTCATCAGTGCCGCCTACCAGTGCCTCCTCATCAGTGCCGCCTATCAGTGCCTCCTCATCAGTGCCACATACCAGTGCCTCCTCATCAGTGCCACATACCAGTGCCTCCTCATCAGAGCCACATACAGTGCCCATCACTGCAGCCTCATAAGCACACATCAGTGAAGGAGAAAAATCACTTATTTAAAAAATTTTATAACAGAAACTAAGAAAAAAAATTATTGGTATCCATTGCTATCCATTATGCTCAATCCGCAGATCCGATCCATTCTGCGGGGATCGTCGGCTTGCTTTACAACCTACCTTTTTGTGGCACAAGTCCGGTGTCACCCGATGCGGCGCGCACCCCCCGCACCTGCCTCGGGACACCGCTGCTTTGCAATCACTTTAAGGAGACTACCGCCAGAAGGTGCTTTTAGGGCTATTTTGAATTTTCCAGCTCATCTTTTGAAAGCTTTAAGTAGGCTTCAGAGCTAAAATGTGCATTTTGAGATAAAAAAGGCCTGGCAACAAAAGGGTTAAACACGTGGTCAAAAAGCAAATGTTTTTTGTCTTACCGAAAAGCTTGTACTTTTATTTTGCCACCTTTGGAATTCACTCACCTCCACCTTTCACCGGTGGAGTAGTACCACCATTCACTAGTGCAGCTCTGCAATTTCTTGCCGGCTCGGCAGACAATTATTCGGTATGATCAGACTTCTAATCAGATGTGTACGCAGGGCACGGCATATTTATGCGTTGCTTATGTAGTAGAGGTTTTCGAACTTCTAGAGCGGCCAGGTAAAGCCATTCTAATAAAATGCTTATAAAAAAAAAGAAAAAAAGATCCTTTTTATACTTTGGCGTAAAAGTAGGACTGGCGGGTGTCACAACATGACCTTTCAATTCCCAATTAAAGCGTGACGGACGGCAGGAAAAGTGGCGGTGGTTTTCGCGATGGCAGCACAGATGGCAGCAGTGATTTAATGCGACAGACAGGCACATAATAGTGATACATCGCGGTGTAATATTGCGTGTACGGCGCGATATTCCTCCCCAGATCCTCGTCCCGAGTCCTGATGAAGAGAATGACAAAATGGCCATCACATCATAATCCGGAGTGATGAATCGCCTTTGGCTCCTTCGCCGCTTACTCGAGATTACTATATCAGCCTGATCACCCTCCATTTTCAATCCATTGTCATTATAATTCTTGGACTTACTGGAAATCCTTGTCTCTGCTTCGTGAAGAACTTCTGATTTAAAATACAATAATAAATATGAAAAATTTGGCATTTGAACCCAGACGGGGGATGGGGGCTTCTAATTGCATGGCACTGATTTTCAGAGGGATATTACTACCTGCCCCAGAAAATAAGTAACTATCATTATTGTCCCAACTTCTCAGTGACCCCAACATGCAAACCTGTGAAAGCTCTGGCCCCCGTGTTCCTTGGTTCAGGCTCCCACTCCTGAACTGGATCCACAAGGCAACAATGGCAGGAGCCTAGCAGTATCGGGGCAGGTTCATCTAGCATCCAGGGCATGGATGCAGAACTGCGCCCCGCTGTTAATTCATATTGTAGAATGGGTTTACTGCCCTGTGTTCATTCTCTGTTCCCTTGCCCTGCTGCTCACCCCATCTCCTGGAATCCAGGGGGCCCAGCTACAACCTTCAATCACCTGCAGAAAACAAGACAGGTTGTAGACCAAGTGGCAGCAAAAACATGTTTAACCACCTCCCGTCTGACCGTTGTATATAAACGGCTGGACGGTGGCAGTGCAGGGTCGGGGGGCCAATTATAAACGGCCTCCCCGCCCCCTGCGAGCACGCAGCACCACGATCCAGTGCCCGCTGTGTCCTCCGGACAAAGTGGAACACCGACTGTCGTACGGGACCTCTCTGCGAGGTCCTGATCATGTGATCACTGATTGGCCAATCAGTGATCACATGTAGAGTAGTAAGCAAGATGTCACTTCTGACATCATTGCTTACTACGTGTGAAATCTGTGAATGATCACAGAGGTCACATGGTACAGGGCTATTCACAACAGCCTTTTACCATGTGACAAGCTGTGACCAATCACAGCTCACACAGTAGTTCTCAATGGCTGCAAGAATGCAGCCAGAGAGAAGGAGCCAGTGTAAAAAAAAAACAAAAATCTTCAGCACCCCCAACTAGTACAGTGTCACCATGGTGACATTGTACTGCTAGGGTGACAGTATGTGTAAAAAAAACAAAAAAAAACAAAAATATAAAAAATAAAAATGTAAAAAACTTTTTAAAAATTATAATTTTTGGTTATAAACTAATTTGGGTTATTTTATTTTTTTTACTAAAAAGATAACGGAATAAATTTTGGCCAAGATTTATGCTAAAATATTATTTGCAAAATTTTATAAGAAAAACACTTTTTTTTTTTTTAAATTTTTGGACTTTTTCATTTACATAGCAAAAAAAAATACAGAATCCCAGCGGTGAATAAATACCACCAAAATAAAAAGGCTTTATCTGTCTCAAAAAAATGCTATAAAAATTAATGACCGCGCAATTGTCATTCAAAGTGTGATAGCGCTGAAAGCTGAAAATTTGCCTGGACAGGAAGGGGGTAAAAGTGTCCGGACATGAAGTAGTTAACAGACCTTGCCACCACATCCTGCCCTAACAACTAAATGCATATACTAATGATAGCAAAAAGCATAAGGTCCGACCTATATCCCATTGAAATGCTGCGCCATGTCTTGAACCAGATCATTTATACAAGACAAAGCATTCCCAGAGCGCTAGTAGTGAGTCAGGTAACAGTAAGAGGACTCAAACATGATTGAGATAACCGCAGACCTATATTCAGAAAAAAAAAAAAAACTTTTACCAAGTTCTATCCAAAGATATTATGCAGAAATAAAACTTCCTACCTTATGTTTGCTCTGTTGGGAGTGAAACCTTGAATAGATCCATGCAATAAGGCTTTAGTTATAAACTGTATATGAGATTTTGTATATACACTCACCGGCCACTTTATTAGGTCCACCTTGCTAGTACCGGGTTGGACTCCCTTTTACTTCATTCTTCATGGCATAGGTTCAACAAGGTGTTGGAAACATTCCTCAGAGATTTTGGTCCATATTGACATGATAGCATCCCACAGTTGCTACAGATCGTCGGCAGCACATCCATGATGTGAATCTCCCGTTCCACCACATTCCTAAGGTCCTCTATTGGATGGAGATCTGGTGAATGTGGAGGCCAGTGGAGTACAATGAACTCATTGTCATGTTCAAAAAACCAGTTGGAGATGATCTGATCTTTGTGACATGGTGCATTATCCTGCTGGAAGGAGCCATCAGAAGATGGAGCCACTGGAGTCATATAGGGATGGACATGGTCAGCAACAATACTTAAGCAGGCCGTGACATTTAACCAATTCAATACCGGGCACTTTTACACCTTCCTGCCCAGGCCAGTTTTCAGGTTTCGGCGCTCTCACACTTTGAATGACAATTGCGCGGTCTTACAATATTGTACCTAAACTAAAATTTTATCATTTTCTTCACACAACTAGAGCTTTCTTTTGGTGGTATTTAATCACCGCTGGGGTTTTTATTTTTTGCTAAATTAACAAAAAAAGACCAAAAAGTTTGAAAAAAAACACACATTTTTCTTTGTTTCTGTTATAAAAGTTTGCAAATAAATAATTGTCCTTCATAAATTTAGGCCGAGATGTATTCTGCTACATGTCTTTGGTGAAAATAACCCAAATTAGGATGTATTTTTTAGTTTGTAGGAAAGTTATAGAGTTCACAAATTATGGTATAGATCTGAATAGATCAATCTGAAGTACTGACAGCCAATCTAATTTTGAGGTCCAAGAATGTCAGAATAGTACATCCCCCTGAATGTCAGATCACAGATACCCCCTGAAGTACTGATATCCCCCAAGCCAAACTACAGATTTCCCCTTGAGGTTCAAGACATGTCAGATATCCCCCAAATGTAGGACAGTACAGATATCCCCCAAATGTCAGAACAGTACAGATACCCCCAAATGTCAGGACAGTACAGATATCCCCCAAATGTCAGGACAGTACAGATATCCCCCCAAATGTCAGAACAGTACAGATATCCCCCAAATGTCAGGACAGACAGATATCCCCCAAATGTCAGGACAGTACAGATATCCCCCAAATGTCAGAACAGTACAGATATCCCCCAAATGTCAGGACAGTACAGATATCCCCCAAATGTCAGATATCCCCCAAATGTCAGAACAGTACAGATATCCCCCAAATGACCCCTTTTTGTAGAGTAGACAGTCCGACGTACTTCATAAGAGGCATGGAGAGTTTTTTGAAGTTGTATTTTTTTTGTCATAATTTTTCGGAACATGAAAAAATTAAAAAATTAGTTTCACTGTTTTTTTTTTACATATTGTCACCAGTGCAGTACAGCGTCATCAAATAACTGGAATGGCGGTGATCATGAACAC